GCAAAATGATAGGATACTGAAAGAGGAACTCCCCAGGTCNTTTTTTTTTAGATTTTTCTGCCAAAGGCCCTGAATCCTTGACTCTCAGCACAGGATGGGCCTTAGGCATCATCCTCCCAACGTCCCATGTACAGATGGGGCCCTGAGGCCAAGAGGTGACAGGGGCCCAGACCACAGTCACATAGTCAGTGAAAGGATCCATCAAGAACCCAACCTGATTCAAGGCTAATCTCCTTCCTGCACCAGTATTGGAACTTGTTTCATGAAAGAACCTAGTGCATGGAATTTGCAGAATACAAATACAAATGCCAGGGTATTTTTTTTTTTTTTTTTTTTGGCCAGAGTTTCAGATATGTTTCTAATGAGCAGCAATGTTTAAAAACAACTGGACTCTATGAGGATCTTTTACTTTTATCTAGTTTGTTTCAAATTTTCTATTTTACATTCAGTGCTCCCATTTCATTTAGTTTATGTTTTCCAATTTCTCCACCTCCTCTTTTTTTTTCCCAATGTTCTTTCTCAAGCCTTTAACGAGCATAGTGGAAAATCTTTCGTATGCATATGTATATGAATAATATAGAGCTTCCCTGATAGCTCAGTTGGTAAAGAATGCACCTGCAATGCAGGAGACCCTGGTTCAGTTCCTAGGTCGGGAAGATCCCCTGGAGAAGGGAAAGGCTACCCACTCCAGTATTCCGGCCTGGAGAATTCCAAGGATTATATAGTCCATAGGGTTGCAAAGAGTTGGACACAACTGAGTGACTTTCACTTTCACATATAAATAATATGTATAATATATATATTTTTGAAGATTTATGAATTTTTGCCTAACTAAAAAATTTGACATTTTTATTTCACCTGACTGACTAAGTATGAATAGAATGCTAGATTTCTAATTTTAAAAATAGATATGCAACAAGCAACAATGGTTTACTCTATAGCACAGGGAACAAAGTCAATATCTTATTATAACCTATAATGGAAAATAATTTCAAAAATAATATATGTGTATATGTATAACTGAATCATACAAGAAAAGAATCTACTTTTTGAAATTCAGTAATGTTTATCTTTTTGTCAGTTTTTCTAAATGTCCTATGGAAACCAAATAACAAATGAGATACAAAATTTTAACTATAGTTGTGTAGGATATAAGATTAATATAAATATAAAACTATTGTATTTAAATTAATGAAATCATTCAAGACACATCTATTCTTATTTTTTCTGCAATTGATTAAATAGTCTCAGAGAAATATTAATATGTCTCACTATGATTATATATTTTTTCCTTTTCCCTTACATTTCTTCTCATCTTTGCTTTACGTATCTTTGTTTCTCTGTTGTTAGGTGTTTAATGGTTTATGATGTCTATCTCTGTTGTGAATTGTACCTTTTATCATTAAAAATATCATCTTTGTTTAAAAAAACAAAAGATGGAAGAAAGAAAGATATTCTAAGTATTCTAAAATATTTCAAGGAAAACATGAATATAATTAGAAATACAAAAGTAGAACCAAATAGAACTTCTAACACTAAAAAACATGTGAAATGAAAAATCAAATAAATGGTCTTAGTTGCAGAAGAAAAGATCCATGCTCTTCATTCGCCACAAATATCAAGCATGCAAAATAACAGACAAAGAAGGGATGAAAATTGGGGGGGGTGGGGAAGGCAGAACATCAATAAGCTGTGGAAGTCTCTAGCATGTCAACATATATATAATTGAAGTCCCAGAATAAAGGAGCAGAAAAATCATTTGGCGAAATAAAGACTACAAATGTACTATACTGGGTAAAAACTACAGCCTCTAGAGACCAGATAACCTACTCCTTTATCATTGCTTCTGTTATTACCTAGAAAGGGTCTATGATCCTCTGGATCACAGAAAATTCCAAAAAAACATCTACTTCTGCTTCACTGACTATACTAAAACCTTTGACTATGTGGATCACGACAAACTGGAAAATTCTGAAAGAGATAGGAATACCAGACCATCTTACCTGTCTCCTGAGAAACCTGTATACGGGGCCAGAAGCAGCAGTTAGAACAGGACATGGAACAATGGATTGGCTTGAAATTGGGAAAGGAGTACATCAAGACCATATATTGTCACCCTGCTTCTTTAACCTATATGCTGAGAACATCTTGCAAAATGCTGGGCTGTATACTCACAAGCTGGAATCAAGATTGCTGGGACAAAAAGCAACAACCTCAGATATGCAGATGATATCACTCTAATGGTAGAAAGTGAAGAGGAACTAAAGAGTTTCTTCATGAAGGTGAAACAGGAGAGTGTAAAAGCTGGGTTAAAAACTCAACTCGAAAAAAATGAAGACCATGGCATCTTGGTCCCATCACATCATGACAAATAGATGGGGAAAAATTGCCAACAGTGAAAGATTTTATTTTATTGGGCTTCAAAATCACTGTGGACAGTGACTGCAGCCACACAATTAAAAGATACTTGCTGCTTGGAATAAAAGCTATTAAAAACCTAGACAGCATATTAAAAAGCAGAGACACTACTTTGCCAACAAAGGTCCCTATTGTCAAACCTGTGGTTTTTCCAGTAGTCATGTACAAATGTAAGACTTGGACCATAAAGAAGGTGGAGAGCCACAGAGTTGATGTTTTTGAATTGTGGTGTTGGAGAAGACTCTTCAGAGTCTCTTGGACTGCAAGGAGATCAAACCAATCGATCCTAAAGAATATCAACCCTGAATATTCATTGGAAGGACTGATGCTGAAGCTGAAGCTCCAGTACTTTGGTCACCTAATGTGAAGAGCTGACTCATTGGAAAAGACCCTGATGCAGAGAAAGATTGAGAGCAGGAGGAGAAGGGGGTGACAGAGGATGAGACGGTTGGATGGTAACACTGACTCAATGGACATGAGTTTGAGTAAACTCCAGGAGATAGTGAAGGACAGGGAAGCCTGGCATTTTGCAGTTCATGGGGTCGCAAAGTGTCAGACACAATTTAGCGACCAAACAACAACAGACTAGGAGGAGATATTCAAAATGCATACTATTTCTCACAGAGTACTCAGTACAGAGTCTATGAAAAATTTCTACAAATCAATGATAAAAAGGTAGAGCAAAATGGAACAACAGATTGGTTCCAAATAGGAAAAGGAGTACATCAAAGCTGTATATTGTCACCCTGCTTATTTAACTTATATGCAGAGTACATAATGAGAAATATTGGGCTGGATGAAGCACAAGCTAGAATCAAGATTGCCAGGAAAAATATCAATAACCTAAGATATGCAGATGACACCACCCTTATGGCAGAAAGTGAAGAGGAAATAAAGAGCCTCTTGATGAAAGTGAAAGAGGAGAGTGAAAAAGTNTGGTGTGCTGTGGTTCATGGGGTCGCGAAGAGTCGGACACGACTGAGCGACTGAACTGAATTGAACTGAAGACTGTCAGGTTACAGCATCTATAACTGACAGGGATTTTGGCAGAAAAAAAACTGGCTCCATCTTTTAAGTAGACTGAGCTAATATAATTTTAATGAAGTCCATAGAATTTTAATTTTAATCCAATGTGATGAGTAAAAATAGATCAAAGTCTATATTACAATGAAAGACAATAATGAGAAAAGAAAGGAGAATCAGATGGAAATCAAGAATAACAAAGATGGGCAGCGGATGAAATAAAACAGACAAGACAGGGAAATACCAAGAATGAGAGAGACCAAGATGAAGAAATAAACAGAGAAACAAAAGGGAAGAGTTGATAGAGAGAGAGAGACAGACAGACAGACAGACAGAGGATCAGAGAAATGAGTAAGAGGTATGGAGAGAGGAAATCAGACACAGTGTGGACAATTCTCAAATACACTTGAGAAAGGATATATATAGTAAGAAGAGATACAAGGATCCTGGGAGAGAGAAGAGGTCAGCCCACACTTCTCTGTCTCCCCGCTCATTCATCCCTCTTAAAAATTTTTTTTTAAAAAGTAAATTCCCTATCTCAATCATATTCACTTTGCTATAATAGGAATTGAAACATAGGGTTTCAACTTCAATATACAATGGGGAAAAATGGAAGTTGTTAGCACATGTGTAGAATAAAAGTTAATGCCCCTCTAGAATCCTTCTGTCTGTTCCTACATCCTTTCTCAAGCTGATTTGAGAGTTATCCACACTGTACTGAAGAAGAAACTGAATCTAATGAGACAAAGCTTTGAATCAACAGTAGGAAACTGATCAGCTCCATGCCATTCCCCTCAAGCCCCAAAGGACATCCTTCAAGTAACACAAAGATACTTCCTCCTTGTCCTGGGTCAGAATACTCTATCCCCTCTCTGAGAGAACACCTGCAGCCTTCAAGTCCCAGCCACAGCCTGGGCAGGGACAGTGTCTTACTCACCTCTGTCATCTGCGCATGCAGCACAGGGTATGGTACACAAAAGTCATCAGTAAGTGTTAAGTGAATAAGTACACTGGTTCTACACACACTGGCTTTTCCTGTAGTCATGTATGGATGAAAGTTGGACTGTAAAGAAAGCTGAGTGCCGAAGAATTGATGCTTTTGAACTGTGGTGTTGGAGAAGACTCTTGAGAGTCCCTTGGACTGCAAGGAGATCCAACCAGTCCATTCTAAAGGAGATCAGTCCTGGGTGTTCATTGGAAGGACTGATGCTGAAGCTGAAACTCCAATACTTTGGCCACCTCATGCAAAGAACTGACTCACTGGAAAAGACCCTGATGCTGGGAAAGATTGAGGGCAGGAGAAGGGGATGACAGAGGATGAGGTGGTTGGATGGCATCACTGACTTGATGGACGTGAGTTTGAGTAAGCTCCAGGAGTTGGTGATGGACAGGGAGGCCTGGCATGGTGCAGTCCATGGGGTCACAAAGAATTGGACACGATTGAGCGACTGAACTGACTGTACAAGGACTGTCATTGCATCATTAAGTATCCCAGGGCTTAGCACAGAAACAGCACACAGTAGGGCACCAATTAATCTGTGAAGAATAAATAAACATACCTTTCTGGGCTTTGATTAGTTCTTTCCCAATTGCCAGAGTCACAAAGGCTGTGCCATTCAGAACTATGTCAGTTATTGTCTTCCAAGCATTAGGAGAGAGTCTTTCGGAGGGAGAAATAAAATTCCCTGCTGCGTTGTTTATCACAACCTAATAAGTGAATAAGGCAAGCGACAGGAACTTAGATGAGGAAGAATATTTTTCCTAAAGGGCTTTTATTTCTGAAACTTATCCAAATAATATAGTAAAACTCAAGTTCATAGTCTGTTATGAAACAATACCGTGAGATTTGGTTCAGTTTTACCTTCTGTGAGCCTGAAAATTTCCTATTGTTTACCAAATTTTGGAATTCTAATCCCTGTCTCAAAATGAGGGTAGAGTGTATTATTAAAAATATGCATATAGATTAAGCATGTCTAGGATGTGATTATTTATTTTGAGGAATCTCAGTTAAAGTGCCTTTAATTTCTGGTATCATTTCGGCTTAATTTAGCTAATGAAATTCTTGGTTGATGACCTGCTTCTTCAATAACAATAAAAATTCGACTTAGTTCTACAGTAGATATTGATATGTCCAAAAATATATTTAACATAGAAAAGTGCTCTCTTTGAGACTGCTGGAGAAATGGCTTCTTTCCAATATGTGAACCAAACAAAAGCAAAACATCCATGTATATCTCAGGTCTTATAAGGAGAAATCTGCAGCTTTTTTGTAGGTTTCCTTGTTTGTATTATTCTCCTCTATGGACAGAGATAATCCAAAGTTATAAAGAAAAGCAAAGAGCATGAATCATTTAAACTAAATATTGTGCTCTTGGATAGCTACTCTTATTTCAAAATCTCATTAAATAAAATGAAATAAAGTTTGTTCTATATGACTGTAAATGCATTTTTAAAGTATTCCTGAAAGGAAATAGTATAGCAATCTACCTACTCTGTTTCCTAGCAAAAAGAGCTGGTTTTTTGCTAGCAAAGGAAAACAGGGGCTTCTTAACACAGAACTTGCTCAGTATCAATATTTTATTTCATTAATACACCTTGGTAGGTGCTATCAACATCAAACACCTCATACCGTCGCCTCTTCACCATCAAACTTACATCAGGATGTCCGACGACTTTGATCGTTTCTGACACAGCGTTTTGCACCATATCAGGGTCCCTCACATCACACTGAATTGCATGAACCTGCAAAATAACAAAAGGAAAAAAAGAATTCTACATTTTTTCAGACTTCTTAATCCATAAGCATGAGTTACTTACTTAAGCATAATTCCTAAATCTGATTTAAATAACTTTTTAATGTACCTTATTTCCAGTCTGAGAAGATATCTGCTCCGCAGTTGCCTTCAAGACATCAATTTTTCTAGAAATAAACACAAGGTACTTTGTATGAGTTCTGAAATAACTTCATGTTATATTTTTCTTTTTAATTTCATAAATTAAGAAAGAGAATTTACAGCTTAAAGACATGTATTTTGAGGACAATAGAAAAGCTAAATCTATAAACAAGTTAGTTTGAGTGCATTTATTTTCCAGAAGTTAAATTTAAGCAATTTTCATATATCTGACAATAATTGATAGAATTACTTTTAAGCCAGTTAAATTTTAAATTATTTCCTTAATTATATTCTTTTCTATGTGTTTTCTTGCCCAGGCATACTTTAGAAGGAAAATACATTCCTGGAATGATGTAAGCTTAGGTTAAACTATTTTTTAAAAATCTATGTTATATATAAAATCTATGTTACCAGATTTTATACCAAATTGATGGGTTTGGACAACCTATATGTATTCAGAATCTTACACTCTTCAGAAAAAAATACACACAAAAAAGCAATGTAAATCACATAGTATTACAAAGAAAATAATATATTAACACCCTTAAAAACATTGCAACATAAAAAATAAATGTTCTGGCCAATTTGCATTAAAAGAAACATCTGAAAGAAATTCCTTTGGGCCCTTATAAATTACACAGTGACTTATCATTCAGACTATTACTTAGCCTATCTAAAAATTTATAGTATTCCAAACTGAGAGAAGGGATAGTTTTTTGGCCAGTCTCTAAACCTCTAACTTGAATAGCTATAAGATACCAGGACATGCCTAAATAAATTCTTTCCACAAGGCCTCCCCCTTCCTATACTCATCACAATAGATGTTTCAAAATATTTGCCCATCTTATAGGAAATGGAAGCATTCTATCCATTATCCTGATGCAAGGTTAACTATCTACTGAATCAGTAATTATAATCAGTCTCATTAAAAACAAAGGAGCCTCAATAGAGTACTTTATTACTTTATACACAGAAAAAATTCTGTCACTGAACTTATGAAGTATATTATCAGTTCCATCATCAATCATTACTTCTATCATCACAAATAATAACTGACTTTTCCCAAGGAGATTTAAATAATCTGAAGAATATTTCATAGAGATTAAGATGCAAATCAAACAAATCTGGCAAAAAGTGTTTTCAACACTGTCGCACAGAATTATTCCATCAGTAGACTCTTGCCAGGCAACTCACAGAGACTCACTCACCGGCTGGCTATCACACACTGGGCACCCAGGCTGGACAGATAAGTTGTCATTCCTTTTCCAAGGCCAGTGCCTCCCCCGGTAATAAATGCCACTTTTCCTTGAAAACTATCGGGTGGTAGCATCACTTTTGGAAAAGGTGGAAAGAATTTAGACTGCACAGCTTCATTGTTTTGATATAATGTTTTTGTTCCATAACTGAAAAACTAATAGAAAAAAAATGAACTGAAATATGCATACTTGTATTCCCACAAAAGATATGAGTTTTAAAATTTATTCTTTAATATTAGTCAAATTCTTGGATTAACACAAACACTGTAAAGATACTGGTACTGTATTTAATCAATTTTTATACTTTTTCTGTTGGAATGTTAAGTAACATAGAATGCTTTAAAGCATGGGCTTTGGAGTTAGTCTACACAGGAGAGAACTTTCTCCCTAATCATACAACCTTCAGCAAGTTATTTAATCTCTATTTGCCTCAATTTCTTCTATAATAGGAAATAATGACAGAACCTTCCTCACAGGTCATTATAAGGATTTCATGAGACAATATAAACAATAAACTTAGAAAATTGTATAGCACATAGAAAACATCTTATATATGCTGGCATTGTTAGTTTATGTGTTTAGTTTCAAGTTAACTTAAAAAGAGCTTAAAGCATGATTGTCTTTTAACAAGAACAACTTGGAAAAAAATCACATTCCATCTTTTGAATCACTTAAGAACATTATAAAAGTCCTTTATAAGGTTTATCAAATCAAATGCCTCTTCTCATGTTGTCTTTGAATAATAAATTTAGAATGGGAAAAAAATACTTGTAATAATTAAAATGGGGGAAAATATAAAACCATTTTTGACTAAAAAAGTATTTGCACTGCTCTATCTTATATTTTACAGCTTACCCTCATATTGATTATTGAAAACACTGCTCTTCTCTCATTTTTAATTATGAAAACAAACTTTTAAGTGTTAAACACAGTAACAGATAAAGAGCCAATAACAGTCATTAAATGTTTACCATGTATCAGGATTAGAAACTAATTGTCACCACCCCATGAAATAGGTATTATTTTTACCCCCGTTGTACAGGAGGGGCCCAGAGAAGTTAAATATGTTGCCCAAGTTGCAAAACCAAGATTATAAAACCTTGCATGTTGTCTCTCTATATTCATTGAGATCCTACTGAGTTTAATGATCACACTATTTGGGTACCTGATATTCCCCATCAGGTCATGGTTGTAAGATTAAAACTTTAGAATATATAATTTCCCACTAGAGCATTCTTATACATTAAATGCGCTGTCATTATTTGTCGTGAGATATCTTGAAATTTACTGTAAAGAAATAGAAATGTAGTCAATAACTTAGGATAAGGCTACTCACAAGTAGAAAATGCTTATAATATGATGAGGGAAAAAAAGAGAAACACACAGGATGTCCTGAACTATAAATAAAAATATATGCTTAGAAAAATGACTAGAAGGAAATAACAACAGTAAGTAGTGGATTCAATATTTGCCAAGTGTCAGGTCTACTTAGGACTTTCTACAACCCTATAAGGTAAACTGTACTGTTACAAGAGTGGAGACTAGAGATCTCTTCAAGAAAATTGCAGATATCAAAGGTACATTTCATGCATGCATGAGTACAATAAACGACAGAACAGCAAGGACCTAACAGAAGCAGAAGAGATTGCAAAGTGGAAAGAATACAGAAAAAAGAATTATACTAAAAAGGTCTTAATGACCCAGATAACCATGATGGTGTGGTCATTCATCTAGAGTCATACGTCCTAGAATGTGAAGTCAAATTGGCCTTAGGAAGCATTACTATGAACAAAGCTAGTGGAGGTACTGGAATTCCAGCTAAGCTATTTCAAATCCTAAAAGACGATGTGGTTAAAGTGTTGCATTCAATATGTCAGTTAACTTGGAAAACTCAGCAGTAACGACACAGCTGGAAAAGATCAGTTCTCATTCAAATCCCAAAGAAGGGCAACACCAAAGAATGTTCAAACTATTGTACAATTTCACTCATTTCACATGTTAGTAAGGTTAAGGTCAAAATCCTTCAAGCTAGGCTTCAGCAGTATGTGAACCAAGAACTTCCAGATGTACAAGCTGGTTTAGAAAGGCAGAGGAACCAGAGATCAAATTGACAATATTTGTTGGATTATGGAGAAAGCAAGGGAATTCCAGAAAAACATCTACTTCTGCTTCCTTGACTCTGCCAAAGGACAAACTGGATCACAATAAACTGTATAAAATTCTTAAAGAGATGGGAGTACCAACTACCTTACCTGACCCCTAAGAAAACTGTATGTGGGTCAAGAAGCTACAGTTAGAACTGGGCATGAAACAGCTGACTGGTTCAAAATGGAGAAACGAGTATGACAATGCTGTCTATTGTCACTGTACTTATTTAAATCTATGCAGAGAACATCATGAGAAATACCAGACTGGATGAATCACAAGCTGGAATCAAGATCTCCGGGAGAAATTACAACAACCTGAGATATGCAGACCCTAACACTCTAAAAAGAAGAACTAACAGCCTCTTGATAAGGGTGAAAGAGGAGAGTGAAAAAGCTGGCTTGAAACTCAACATTCAAAAGACTAAGATCATGGCATCCAGTCCCATCACTTCATGGCAAATACAAGGAGAAAAAGTGGATGCAATGACAGATTTTATTTTCTTGGGCTCCAAAATCACCAGGGATAGTGACTGCAGCCATGAAATTAAAAGACACTTGCTCCTTGAAATGGAAGTTATGCCAAACCTAGACAGTGTATTAAAAAGCAGAGACATTGCTTTGCTGACAAAGGTTCATATAGTCAAAGTTATGGTTTTTCCAGTAGTCATGTATGAATGTGACAGCTGGACCATAAAAAAAGCTGAGAGTCAAAGAACTGATGCTTTTGAATTGTGGTGCTAGAGAAGGCTCTTGAGAACCCCTTGGACTGCAAGGAGATAAAACTAGTCAATGCTAAAGGAAATCAACCATGAATATTTATTGGAAGGACTGATGCTTAAGCTGAAGCTCCAATACTTTGGCCACCTGATGTAAAGAGATTGGAAAAGACCTTGATCCTGGGAAAGACTGAAGGCAAAAGGAGATGTGGGCAACTGAGGATGAGATGGTTAGATACCATCACCAACTCAATGGCCATGAATTTGAGCAAATTCCAGGAGATAGTTGAGGACAGAGGAGCTTGGTATGCTGCGGTCCAGGGGGTCACAAAGAGTTGGAGACAACTTAGGGGCCAAAAACAACAACAACACTGTTACTCCAATTTTATAGATGAGAAAACTGAAGCACACAGGTAGGTCAAGTAACTAACTTTCAGAGGCAAATAATGAAAGTAGCAAAGATTCAAATCTAAGATGTATCTGACTTCATTCATTACCTTTTACAGTCATTATGTTTGACTAGGTGATGGGATAATAGAAGATTATTTGTTCTTTTTGTTAGGTTGGTTGATTTTGAGTAATTTCAAATTTTATTCAATAAATATTAATATGATTTGATTTTTAAACCAGGGGGAAAAAGTTACTGAAGGATAAAATGTGAAAATGTGTATAAATGATAATGAAAAGTTTGCAGATCTGGTAATCTTCCAAGCTGGTCATTATATTTCCTTTAGTTTCATGTTGACAAAGCCTTGAAGGACTTCTTATCTCTCCTTGTTATTCTCTGGAACTCTGCATTCACTTGGATATATATTTCCCTTTCTCCTTTGCCTCTTGCTTCTCTTTTTTCTCAGCTATTTGTTAAGGCCTCCTCAGACAACCACATTGCCTTCTTGCATTTCTTTTTCTTGGGGACTGTTTTGGTCATCACCTCCTGTACAATGTTACAAACTTCCGTCCATAGTTCTTCAGTCATTCTGTCTACCAGATCTAGTCCCCTGAACCTATTCATCGCCTCCACTGTATAATCATAAGCAATTTGAATGCACTAATGGCTTTCCCTACTTTCTTCAAATTGAGTCTGAATTTTACAATAAGGAGCTGACGATCTGAGCCACAGTCAGCTCCAGGTCTTGTTTTTGCTGACTGTATAGGGCTTCTCCATCTTCAGATACAAAGAATATAATCAATCTGATTTCGATATTGACCATCTGGTGATGTCTATGTGAAGAGTCGTCTCTTGTGTCATTGGAAAAGGGTGTTTACTATGACAAGTGTGTTTTCTTGGCAAAATTCTGTTGCCTTTGCCCTGCTTCATTTTGCACTCCAAGATCAACCTTACCTGTTATTCTAGGTATCTCTTTACCTTCTACTTTTGTATCCCAGTCCCCTATGATGAAAAGAACATCTTTTTTTTTGGGGGGGGTGTTAGTTCTAGGAGATCTTGTAGGTCTTCACAGAACCATTCAACTTCAGCTTCTTCAGCATTAGTGGTTGGGGCATAGACTTGGATCATTGTGATGTTGAATGGTTTGCCTTGGAAACAAACTGAGATCATTCTGTCATTTTTGAGATGGCATCCAAGTACTGCATTTTGAACTCTTTTGTTGACTATGATGGCTACTTCATTTCTTCTAAGATTCTTGCCCACAGTAGTAGATATAATGGTCACCTGAATTAATTTCTCCCATTCCTGTCCATTTTGTTCACTGATTCCTAAAATAATGATGTTCACTCTTGCCATCTCCTATTTGACCACATCCAATTTACCTTGATTAGCATGCAGCAATGGCACCCCACTCCAGTGCTCTTGCCTGGAAAATCCCATGGACAGAGGAGCCTGGTGGGCTGCAGTCCATGGGGTCGCTAAGTCGGACATGACTGAGCAACTTCACTTTCACTTTTCGCTTTCGTGCATTGGAGAAGGAAATGGCAACCCACTCCAGTGTTCTTGCCTGGAGGATCCCAGGGACAGAGGAGCCTGGTGGGCTGCTGTCTATGGGGTCGCACAGAGTCAGACACGACTGAAGTGACTTAGCAGCAGCATGCGTGCACACAAAAAGTGGAGTAAGGTAACACCTGAGTCTGAGTTGACTCAACACTGCCCACAACAGGTCCAGAAACCTTCCCACAAATATTGGATGACTCTGAGCAGGGAGATTGACTGAAGAAAACTGTGTGGAGAGGAAAACGGAGGAATCACAGGATATTCTTCATACTGCCATTCTCTATATATTTTTTCTTTTTTCTCATATGTTTTTATGTTGTCCTTTCTTTACTATTCAATTAACT